CTTTACATCTAAATATCTGTGTAGGAGGCAATATCAACAATTTTAGTACTCACAATGAATTAGATTTTCAGGTATCAGCAAGCTATTTACTCACAAGGCCCTGAAGAGGCAAGGAATAAATTAGACAATTAAAATAAAAGTTTTCTGAGGAAAAGTAAGAGCAATAGTTTGGTGTAGAGATAGAACTAGAGAAAGAAGAGTAGTCAGCAAGATAATATTTAGCTCTGAGAATCATAGGTTGTTGACCACAATACAAGACGAAAATATATAAATAAATCAATTTTTATTTGTGATTATGTTTGTCTTGTGTCAAAGGAATTTTCTAAAGACAAAAGAAATCCTGAACATACAAACCAAGTTTTAACCAACCATTAAAAATACTACCATTATGGTTTTTTCTTAATGTTTTAGCTCTAACGCAAAGGGGAATGCTTGCAGTCAATCATCAAGTTCTTAGCCAAAGAGAAATCATCAGTGATATCTCCAACCAAAAAAGACAATAAGAAGCAGGCCAGCCAGCCAGTTATAGGTGACTCACGCCTATAATCCTAGCACTTTGGGATTCTGAGATGAGAGAACAGCTTGAGGTCAGGAGTTCAAGACCCGCCTGGGAAACTTGGCAAGACCCTCTTTCTACAACAACAAATTAGCCAGGCTTGGTGGCACACACCCATAGTCCCAGCTACTCAAGAGGCTGAGGCAGGAGGATTGCTTGAGCCCACGGGGTAAAGGCTGCTTATTAACCAAGATCACACCATTCCAGAGTGGTGGCAGAGCTAGACCCTGTCTTCAAAAAAAAGAAAAAGGAAAAGAGAAAATAAGACATGGAGTTAATTTAGATAGATGGGTACAATATAGATATTATAGACAAGATAGCACTTTGCCAGTTAAACACAGATTTTAACTGTGATATAAAAAAACAATCCCACTCAACTTAGATAAGAAGCAGGATAACAATCCCATTTAACTTAGATAAGAAGTAATAAAATCTCTAACTGAGGTCTTTTTTTAAAGATCAGATTTGCTAGACTCTGAATTAAATTCATATGTCTTTATAAATCTTTTTGTTCTTATAATTTCAGATGGTCACTAATACTCTTACTTTCGAGAGCCTAAAACTGGCAGATAGTGGTGTGGAGTCTATATTACAGCCTTCAATGTTAATATAAATAACAATTTTATGCAAAAGTCAAGTAATTTTACATGACTTACTACTAGAGGAAAGTAAAACAATCAAAAAGGGGCATTAGTTATTTCCCTTTTAAAATAAAGGATCAATTTGGTAATAAAGTGAAAAGTGAGCTAAAAGTATGTAGAACTCAGTAACAGAAATGCTACAAATTTAAAAAACAAGTTCCAGGTCTATTAAAAATTAGCAAATCGCCAAGCACAGTGACTAACGCCTGTTAATTCCAACACTTTGGGAGGCCAAGGCAGGAGGATCACTTGAGCCCAGGAGCTCAAGACCAGTCTGGGCAACATAGATCTTATCTCTACAAAAAATAAAAAATAAAAACTAGTCAGTCGTGGTGGCACATGCCTGCAGTCCCAGCTACTAGCAAGGCTGTGGCAGGAGGATCACTTGAGCCCAGAAGTTGGAGGCTGCGGTGAGCCAAGATCATGCCACTACACTACAGCCTAGGTAACAAAGTGAGATCTTGACAAAAGGAAAAGGAAAAGAAAAAGAAAAAGAAAAAAGAAAAGGCAAAGGAAAGGAAGAAAGGCAGGTAGGCAGGCAAGCTAAATATGATTTTGTGGTATCTTTACCAGTCCAGCCTTGCAGGATCCTAGTATTTTTCTGACAGAAACAGACTAGGAAACAGATTCTAAGAGAGATTTTCCCTAAAAAGATGTAATTATGCCCAAATCATCTGAACATTTTCAGAGAAATTTTAAACTGGTAAAGAGCAAGAGACTGAATTTATAGTAATAATATTCTTAAAATAAGCATTTATGAAATTATTAACATTGGGGAAGACAAAAACAGGAAAGGAAAAGTAATCAGTTCACTACATGGCTCAGCTGTGAATAATATTAACACAGTCAAAATAAGGTAAATATTGATCTACTCAAAATTAAGATATAATTGTATTCTGAAGACAGGAGGATAGGGAGAATGTACACATGTGGTAGGGGTGAGAGCAGGATAGAAGCAAAATCATCTTCTTTCATTAAGGAGAGTTAGCAGATGATACATGAGATTAAAATAAGATTCAAGTGGCAGTTCAGCATATTGTTTAAAAATACTGAGGTAAAAACCAAAAATAATCTGTTAATAAACTTGAAAAGGCTACTGCTAAGTAGGGGTGAGGAGGATAGAAGCATACTTGAGAGGGGAGAGAGCATGAGACAGAGTAAGTGACTACTATTCTGTTTTGGGGTTCTTTTGTTTGTTTGTTTGTTTGTTTTTGAGTTGGAGTCTCACTCTATCACCCAGACTGGAGTGCAGTGGCCGCTCCCGGCCACCACAGCCTCGACCTGCTGGGCTCCGGCGATCCTTCCGCCTCAGCCTTCCAAGTAGATGGAACTACAGGCGTGCGCTACCACGCCCGGCTAATTTTTAAATTTTTATTGTAGAGATGATGTCCCGCCACGTTGCCCAGGGAGGTCTCGAACCCGCGGGCTCAGACAGTCCACTCACCTTGGCCTCCCAAAGTGCGGGATTACAGGCTAAGCCACCGAGCCCGGCCTGTTTTTGTTTTTTTAAATTAAATATGGTAAAAATAATTTAAGTGTACAGGTTGATACTTTTATTCTTTTTAAAATTTTAAATTTTAAAGATGTGGGGTACAAATCAGGGTTAGTTATACAAATGTTCATTATGCAGGTACCCTTGTTGATGAGGTGTGCCCTGCTTCCGGCAGATTCCCACTACTGCCAATCCTGCGCCAAATCCTTCCTACCCACTGCCCCCACTCCACAGCAGTTTCCCACTACTGCCAATCCTTTTCTTATAGTATTATGATAATTGTTCAAGGTCTGCTTGTGAGCAAGAACATTTGATACTCAGTTCTTTTTTCTGTGAAAGATCACTCAGTATTATAGACTCTAAATCCATCCAAGTTGCTGTGAAGTTAATAATTTTGTTCTTCTTTATGGCTGTGTAATATTCCATCATGTATATGTACTACATTTTTTTATCCATTCCTTTTTTGATGGGCAGCATAGTTGGCTCCATGTTTTTGCTACTGTGAACGATGCTGCAATAAACATACATGTGCAGGTATCTTTTTCACAGAGTGATTTGAGTTTCTCCAGGTATATTCCCAGCAGAGGGATTGTAGAGTCGTATGGAAGGTCAGTTTTTAGGTCTTTTAGGAATTGCCACACTGTTTTCCACAGAGGTTGTATTAGTTCACATTCCCACCAACAGTGTAGAAAGTATTCGCTCTTCCCCGCATCCTCTCTAGCATCTGTTGTTTTTTAAGTTATTGATGATGGCCATCCTGACTGGAATTAGGTGGTATCTCAATGTAGTTTTAATTTGTACTTCTTTGATGACTAGTGAGGCTGAGAATTTTTCATGTATCTGTTGGCTGCTTGTATGTCTTCTTTTGAGAAGTGTCTATTCACATCTTTTGTCCACTTTGTAATGGGGCTGTTTGTTTTTTTTCTTTTCAGCACTTTTGAGTTCCTCGTAGATCCTAGATGTTAGGCCTTTGTCAGACATACAGTTGGCAAACATTTTTTCCCAGTCTGTGAGCTGTCTCCCTGCTTTCTTGATGGTTTCTTTGGCTTCGCAGAAGCTTGTCAGTTTGATAAGGTCCCATTTGTCTAATCTCTTATGGCATAGGCACTTGGGGTTTTGATCAGGAATTGGTTGCTGGTTCCAATTTCCATAAGGGTGTCTCCTGCATTTTCTAAGGTTCTTATAGTTTGAGGTCAAAATAGTAAGAGCCATCTGCAAGAAACTCACAATCAGCATACTTCTAAACAGACAGAAATTGGAACCATTTCCCCTGAAAACCAGAACAAGACAAGGATATCCCTCTCACTCCTCCTTTTCAACATAGTTTTGGAAGTCCTAGCTAGAACAATCAGACAAGAGAAGGAGACTAGGAGTATCCAAATAGGAAAAGAGGAAGTCAAGTTATCCCTCTTTGCAGACAACATGATTCTATATCTTGAAAACACAAGCAAATCTGTCAGAAACCTCCTTACACTGATAAAGGACTTTGGCAAAGTCTCAGGGCATAAAATGAATGTGCAAAGGACAGTCGCATTTCTACACCCCAACAATAATCAAACAGATACCCAAATAAAAAGCAAATCCCATTCACAATAGCCACACAAAGAAACGAAATACCTTGGCATCTTCCTAACCAGAGACGTGAAAGACCTTTACAATGAAAACTACAAAGCCGGGCTT